ACATTTTGCTCTGCACATTGAAACAGCTGCTTTAAGAACAAACATTCACATAAATGTTCTTTTATACAATGCTTAGCACAAATGTACAAACAAAACAGTATTCAGGTTTACAGTGAAATAAAGGTTCTTCTAGTTTATAATGTGTGTAAGGCTGCAAAAGGAAAACATGAACATTTAAAGAGAAAGAAGTGTAGTATAGTGGTAATAAATGGTTGATACAAGTTCAGGTTATCGCAGGTTCACATCCATATCATAATGCACCCCAACAAACTAAAACTTGTACTAAAGAGTCTATAGTTTTGTGTATTAAACCATACCTGCCCCTGTCTGCAGCCGAGGTGGTCTTCAAACTGATCTGTCTCTGCTCTGTGCCCCTCTGCTGCTCCTGGATCTTAAAGAGACACAAGGAGGTTTGWGAASGTGAAGCCAGGAGAGATTTCACAACAACCTGAATGATTTGAACCACAAATAAGTTTTCAAAATCTATGAAGTTGTCAACAGGCGAAAACAAGTAACAATCTGTGCCTCTTTCTTTGTTGTTTAAAGGTCAACTTATTCATTTAAGTTAGACTCACTTGTTCACTTTCTTATGTGTTTTAATGTTTTACTTTATTGTATTGCACTTGATTTGTTGTGTTTTTATCTCTTGCTACTGTTCAGTAATTTGTCTCAAAGCSCTTTATAAATAAAGTTATTATTTTTATTTTAAAAGCACTCATAAGTACTAATACTGTATCTGTTAAAAGTAAAATATTCTGCATTTTATTTATGAGAGTATGAGAAAAATTAAACTATAGGGCTCGTGCAAACCACAGAAGATGCTCACCTTGCTAGGCCCTGCCTCAGGTGCCTCATCTCTCTGATCCTGTCTCTCCTGCTGAGATCGTTTACTAAGTCGGCTCTCGTATTGAGACTTGAGAGCACTCATTCGCATCTCCGCCTCCTTTAACTTCTCCTTCAATTCTTCGTTCTCCTTCTGCATCTGGTCTTTGGAATCTGGAAATAAATGAATTAGGGTTGAGATTCCAATGYAAAACTGAAAGAAATACRAAGTGGGAAATAATTATGTGAATGCTCATCAAGCATTGATTAGACGTTGGCATTTYARTCATTAGAATTTGACCATGAAACATTGATTCAATAACTTSTTTTYAACACTGGTTCAATCGTTGRCCTTAACCAAAAGTCAACCTTTCTGACCATAAMTCAACACTGAATTAAAATCGTTTGCTTTCTGGGTAGTTGATTGATRTTATTACAGAGAAAGAGATTAGGCAAATTATACAGTTATTATGGGTGTACTAGGTCAGAATAGAAGAAAACCCTCTCACTTGTGAGGTGGCTGATTTTCTGCTTGGCATTAAGAAGAACCTTCCTGGTCTTCTCCTCCTTCTCAGTCATCTGCTGTTTCAAGGTGTCCTCCTGAGAAGCCTTATCCTGCAGCTCCTGCCTCAACCTCGTYAGCTCCGTTTGCAACCTGGCAGACTGTTCCTGAGCACTGCGTACCTCGGCCTCTCGCTCCGTRACCACCTGTGGAAAACACGTTTAAGTTCCAAAGACAATTCCAAAGATACCAAACTGACCTACTGATAAAACTAAAACAGGATCCCACGGTTCAGAAAAAAACGTTTAAAAATAAATAAAGCTGCGAGTGACTTTTCACCTTGTTGATGTTCTCGAGCTGTCCTTCCAGCTCTTTGTTCCTGGTTTCAGTCTGGCTCAAAGAATCTTTAACGCTCTGCAGTTCATGAACCGAGGCTTGACGTGCCTCCTCGTCTTGGGATGGGCCTGCCGCAGCCTCTGCCACCAGCTGAGACAAGCACARAATGATCAATTAAAACTTCTCATTTTTTCTTCAAGGTTTGGACTGAAGTGAGCAGGGAAACCGTTACTTTGTCATGTTCCACTTTAAGCTCTTCATACTGAGTCTTGTAGCGTCGCCCGATCTTCTTAACCTGGTTGATGGTTCGCATCTTCTCCTGGAGTTCCTGGGTCTTAGTTTCCAGTTCCCTCTTCAATGCATTCCTCTCCTCGGTCACCTTACCCATAYTGTCACGCACATTCTGCAGTTGGCCCTGGATGGATATTGTGTTAGCATTTGTCCTGTGGAAAGACAAAAGGAGCACAACACTTAATGGTGATGTGGGAAACAAAACAAGTTCGTTGCTTTGATGAATTTATCAAAAGTCGTTTCGACTGATCATCTCTCACCTGGTCAACTCCCTACTAAGTCTACCGTTCTCCTCACAGAGCTGCTGGATGCGTTTCACGTGTACCTCTTTCTCAGAATGCAGACGCTTGAACTCATCMGGATCTGAATCTCTTTGTTGACTCACTAATTGCTGTTGGAGCATGAAAAAAGTGCCAATATGTTATAAAGGAGTTCTTTGATTCATCAACAAAAACGTTCAGTTTACTTCCTCGTCTCTAAACTGACCTGGGTTCGAGCCTTCCAGCGCTTCACTTCCTCTTCCAGTATCAACTTCTCTCCCGTCATTATGCCACTTCTCTCACTCAGCTCAGAGTTAGCCTCCTGAAGCGGCAAAACTTCAGACTCCAGCTGCTGCACCTGAAACACACAAGTACACAAGCTTAGAGCAGAGTATTGGAAAATGGGATCAAAATATTAATAAAATGTTTACATTTTATTATTACATTTTAGTTTATGTTTTATTAATAAAATGTAAAACGGGTCAGATACCTTAGCTTGGCTTTGCTGCAGTTCCTGARCCATTTTCTCCTTCTCCTCTCTCAGCATCTTGTTGGTCTCCACCAAGATGTTCATTGTTTCAGTCTTGTTCATTAGTTCATCGTGCTGAGCCAGGGTCTTTGCAGTTACCTGACATGTAGAAACACTGTGGTATCACTTGCCTTATTGTTCAGGATTGCAAACTACAAGCAGGTTAGACTATTTTTTTTTTAAATCACATATTTGTGTTTATTATGCTATGCTCTTTGAACAAATAAAAAAACCTCACCCTTAAACCATGTGTCAAACTCAAGGCCTGTGGGTCAAATCTGGCCCTCATTAACGTTTTATCCGGCCCCAAAGTTCATACTTTAAATGTGAAATAGTTTTGATGGTTTCTCTTTTTGTTACTGTATTTAGTGCATTGTTTTCATGACAAGCCAAGGAAATTAAGTTGGAATTTTTCAGTAATCTTTGATTCTGGTGATCAAGCAACAAATAATACAAATTTATTAACCTTTTCTGTATTTTTAAGTGAATTTATTTATTTATTTTTTGTGGGGGTTTGCTTTTTCTTTTAAACTGAGATGCTGTATTGTGATTAAAACTTTAAGAAACAACAAATGATAAAGTTGTTGATAGAGAGTAAGGCATAACAAATAAAAGCTAAATGCATCATTCTAAATTTAACCGTTTTCTGTATCTGTTAGGTTATTCGTCCTAAATGCTAAATAAAATATCATTTGGAAAGGTCACATGTTTTGCCATAAGAATAATTTGTTGAATATTTCTTAATAAATATTGACAGAAATTGGTCCTTGGCTTAGACAAAGTTTTAAATTTCGGCCCTTTTATGTAACTGAGTGTGACACCCCTGCCTTAAACCAAACGTAGTTTATACAAAAACAAAAGGGAAAATCTCTTCATCAACAGTGGAAACAAACCTGCATTCGTTCCCTCGCAGCACCCAAACTGTCCTGCACCTCTTTGAGCTCTCGCTCCAAGTGCTCCACTCTCAAACGGTGACGCAAAGTTTCCCCTTGGGCCACCTCAAAACGAGACTCTGCAATCTCCTTTTCTCGACGAACAAACCTTTGATGGAAGAACAAAATCAGAAATGATAAAAAACAAACAACAAAAAACAATGACTTAAGAGACAGGACTACATAAAAAAGCAGTTTTCAAACCTGACTTGTTTATTTAGAATTTGTTATTGGTATGACTAAAAGTCATTAGACACAAAAAGCAGATAATTACCTGAGAATCTCAAGAAGCTGGTCTTCAGATTTTCCCTCTTCAGTCAAAGATATGTTGAGTGAACTCTCACTAGAAGCTCGTTGCAGATTGTCAGCCAGTTTGTTGCTCAACGTCTGAACCTGCTCATGCAGGAGCGTATTCTGCCTCTGCAATTCCTCGTGGCGGCTTTCCATCTTGGACATCTCCTCCTGTAACATAAAGGAAGATACCGTAAGTAATTTAATTTGTATAGCATTTTTTACAGTCAAGTAGCCACAAAGTGTCTGACAATAAAACAGAATAGCACACAACAGAGAATAAAAAATACATTTACAACCAATAAAACTCATACAGCTATGTTAAAAGCCTACTTTAAAAGCTGCTTTTTAAAAATCTCCAATGAATCTACAGCTCTTATATTTTGAGGTAATGCATTACAAAATTTAGGAGCTACAACCTGAAATGCTCTGTCCCCACAKGGTTTTAGTCAGGACCCTGGAACAAGTAGCTGATTGGAGTTACTGGACCTAAGTGTATGTGTAGGTACATTTGGCTGAAGTAGATCTGATATATTAGTGTGGGCGTGGCCGTGCAACACTTTATAAAGGATTGTGAGAATTTTCAACTGGATCCTAAAATCCACAGGAAGTCATCTGTAAATGAATTACCATCACAACAAATTACATCTAACAAAAATCTAATTAAATTTACAGCTCCAAAATATGTCTTTAAGTGTGCAATGACTTTTTAACTCAGGATAAATAAGCCTTTTGTAAAGTTTGCTTATAAAATTAAACACAACAAATAAACCCAACCTTGAGGATCTTCTCCTGCTCTTCCCAGGAGACTCTGGCCTCCAGTAACTCAGAACTGAGCCGCTGGACTTTCTCCTCCAGCTGATGTCTGAACTCGACGGCCTGCTGAGCTTGAGCCTTGACGGCCTGCAGAGCCTCCACATCAGCTGCATGCAGAATCATCTCCTGCTCATATTTATCCTGGGCTTCAGCTGCTAGCTTAGCCTTGGAGAAAGGAAAAAAAGCTTTGTCTATCATCAACATATATCACACAGCTCCTGACTAGCTGTTTCCACTAATAGCACTGGTGCTTTTAAACAAAACGCACAAACTTTAGTCACCATTTGAACTGACCTTCAACACATTCAGAATATGCTGTGTACATTTTTAAATATCAATATTGCACCACATAAACTGACAAAAACTTTAGGGTTTTGTCTAAAAGCATTCATAAATACTGACAGTATGTGTTGTGCCTGATAATAAAATTCAGTACTCCATTAGATTTTACTACATCTGCTCACCTGCTCCTGGCTGTCCATCAGAGCCTGCTGTTGCTGAGTTTCAGCTACAGCCAGCTGCTGCAGCATCACCTGGTGTTCTGCCTGGGCACTGCTGAGATTTCTCTTCAGGTCATTGATCTAACACCCAACCAACAAATAATAATAATAAATAAATAAATAATGATGTAAGAGAGTTCACATTTATTAGTGCATGTCATGATTTCAGACCTGCTCCTCCAGGGAGKCCACAGTGCTCCGTTTCTGCTCCTCCAGGTTTTGTTTTTCTTTCTCYGCTTCCAGGAGCTTCTCCTCCAGCCTGCGCTGCTGCTCCCCAGCTTCCTTCAGACGGGTTTCAGTGGCTGAGCGGACCTGCTCTGTTACCTGGTCAATTATAAATATAAAATTTTGTTTCAAAGTTTTTATTTAAGCAAAACTATAAATGATCAGAATGTTTACATACAAGTCTTTTTGACTTTATTTTGACTATATTAATTAAATATTTTATTTATCATTTTCTATTTATACATTTACCACATATTCTGATTAGACAACTGGAAGTGTGACCAAATTACTCACTTTCAGGCTTTCATTAAACACATATTGTTTGGTAGACTATTTCTTGTAACAATGCTTCTTTTACAGATGGAAAGCCTGTTAATTTCCCTTTTAAATGGTGCCACATTTGTAAGGAACATGCATTTGTGGGATGAGCAGTAGAGCTGAATATGTGGGCTGTGCACTGAAAAATCAGACAACTCTTCTCTGCCAAACAGCTTGTTTTATTGTTGCTACTGACTCTTGTTTTGAGCTTCTGATACCCCCAGGTGTAATCTACCCAACACAAACTTCCTTACTTTTTGTGCCAAGTACATTTTGACGCATATATTTTGATGTTAGCWGAAAATTAGTGTTTTCTCCTCATTGACTGTCTGTGCTTTTATGTTGCATCTGTGTCTTATTTYGTTCAGCAACAGTTTCTTCCCTTTTTTATATGTTGTTAAATGTTTATGATCTGAGGGAMCCATAAACAGTTTGGGTTGTGYCCCAAATGAGTCCTGACCTGTTTCTCCCTCTCCAGAGACTCCTCCAGGCTTTGAGCCATGGCTCTGTACTGCTCCATGTTGGAGGTGATGACCTTAAGCCTCTCTGCCTGCTCCTCTACTCGGGTTTCGGCTAGTTGCAGGCGGCCTTGGAGCCTCTCTCCGTCTCCATCTGAACCCTGCAGACCTGCAAAGGGGTTGAGCAATTAGTGATTTTTAAATGAGGAAGATGCATTCTGGACTAATGGAAATACCATTCCATTTTAAAGTCCTTTGGAAAAGCATGGTTTACACATTTTAAAGAAGCACTGAATGTCATTTCACATAAAATAAATCCACTGCATTTAAGCAGAAGAAAATTAAGTCAATGTAAAAGTAGGTCAGTCAAACAGAAAAAAGCTTTTATTCCTGTTTTATTACTGTTCCTAACAGACAAATAAAGGACCTCAAAACAACCAGTGACTAGAGAGTATATTTATAATTAAATGTATGCAAGCTACATGTATTTACTCATTTAGACCAACCTCTGATGGATGCAGACGGGGAGCTCAGGGTGTGGCGTGTTTCATTGCTACCCTGCTGAATCTTGAGGGTGTTGAGCTCCAACTCAGCATCATTCAGTTGCTCYTTGAGTTTCTGATTTAAAGCAACTTGTGTCTCCAGCTGCCTCTTCACGTCCATTAACTGCATCTGTGCAAAAACAAAAAAAGAGATCATCTTTTTACCTAATCGTGCCATATCTGATTCATTTCTGTGATGTTTACAACAAAACTAAGACTTTTTTAAAGAATCACCTGTAATAAAAAAACACATCAGTCCTTTAGAAACTAATACAAATTCAATTTAACACTTACTTCTTGGTTTCTGCTGAACAGGTGACGCTGTTCCACTTCTTGTTCGAGCCTCTTCTGCAACTGAGAGTTCTCCTGTTCCTTCTTCTCCAGCTGGCTGTTGAGACGCTGGCGCGTTTCGCTCTCTGAACGCTCAAGAGTGGACTGAGTAAGAGAAAAGACAACATTGTGAGCTTTGCTTGTTTGGATTTGTGCATGCGGTCCAAAACAGGATTCTTATGTTACCCGAATAGCCTGTAGATCGATCTGCAGCAGCCTCTGGCTCTGCTGTTGACGCAGGATGTCCTCCTTCTCCTGGTTCAGTGTAGATTCTACCAGCTTCAGCATGTCTCTCTCCTTGCGAAGGTTCTCAGCATCGCCCTAAAAAGCAAAATGAAATAGAGCATGTGTTACTATTTCTTTAGGTGTCAATAATTAAATCAAAAACTAGCAATGCACCTTTTAGTTCTTAAAGTGCCTGTGACGACAAATTTTAGTAATACATATGAATGCATTTTTAGAAAGAGGACATTGATAAAATATTGCAAAAAAATTTCATGTAGCTGAGATGAACAGTTGAGATATTCACATGTGAAGTAATAGGAAGTGATGCCAAAGGGGAATGTCTGCATGTGAACAGAGAATTGCTACAACAGCCAACAACCCAGACTGTAGAGAAGAATCTGATGTTTAAGATTATTTTGAGTCACTATCAGAGAGATGAAGAAGAGTCAGAGTTCAAATAATATTGTTTCAATAAACAAAGACCAGAGAGTTTTCTTTGTTAAAGAGTTCCCCTTTGATGTCACTTCCTGTTTCACTTTGGCTGAGCCAAGTTCAAAAGAAAATATGCCAGTTAAAGGACAAAATGGGTAAAATTGTGTGTATTACTCCAACTTTCTTAAATATAAATACGTTTTCTTTGACTTTTTGTATTTGAAGAATATGCATGTCACAGACACTTTAAGCACACAGAAACATAAATGATTGAAAACTAACCAACCTCAGTCATGCTGAGCTTCTCCTTGGTAGCTTTAAGCTCCTCATTCAGAGTGTGAACAGTCTGCTCCAGTGTCTGCTTGGCAGCAGACATCTTCTGTTCTTTATCTCTAAGTGAGGCGATCTCCTTCCTGTAGCCCTCCACGTTGTCCTGAAGCATCTCGTACCTGTACAGGCAACAACAGAAGTTAGCTTTAGRWGGGCAAACATTAAGTTTACCATAAATTTAACATTTTTTTCTTCTTTCCACATTTACCTCTTTGAAGCAAATTCTAGCTGGGTGGATATCTTGGCATTCTGAGAGCGAAGATCGGACAGCTGCTCCTGGAGCTTCTCGTTTTGCTCGGCCATTGCCTTTTCACTCTCTGAACGCTCGCTCTTATAGGAGGAGAACACTTCCTGCAACTGCACAGGCAGACATTTTAATGTACCTTCATATCACTCATGTTTCTCCTGTCTGAGTGATATTCGTGAGAATAAAATAAAATATTTGACATGCTGTACTATGATTCCATAACAGCAGTTTGGTTACAGTAATTGTGCTCTGAAATAAAAAGTTCTTCAAACCATTTCATAAACATCTTCCCAAAATAATAAGCATTTTGTAAATTTTTTGGCCTTTTTTAAAGACAAACTTTTTAGACAATTTAACAAGAAAACAATTAAATATTCTTTACATGACACAATGACATGATTGAAAATATACTTTTTGTGTTGCACAGTGCCACCTGGTGGTGACATGAGCAACAACACAAACTTGTCATTTAGGGAAGGGGTCATCCTATCAGTGGTTCCCAAACTTTTTTTCTTCTGACCCACAAAATATTCATGGCAAAAACTTGTGACCCCAAATATTACTGGTTTGAGTACATAAACTTTGTTACTAACCCTAAAAACAAAGGCTACACAAATATAAATACTTATTTATATTTGTGTTTTTTGTAATACTTATAGGGAAAATATTACATCAGCAATTATTTTATTACCCTTTAAATTGATTTCTGAAGTGCAGTGGTTCCCAAACTTTTCAGCTTTTGAYCCACAAAATGACAGTAGCAGAGACCTGTGCCCCCAACTATTTTTGGATAATAAACATTTGTATCAGGTCAACTAAAAATAGGCATAGTAACAATATCTATTATTCTACATTTATGCTTTTTAGGCAACTAAGGCAAAAATGTAATTAATTCAGAAAATCTTTTGAGGGCCCCACCTTGATGTTTCAGGACCCCACTTTGGGTCCCGACCCCAACTTTGGGAACCACTGCAGTTGGAAATGCAAAACCTATGTTTTAATCCTTAATTAAAAGAAACTTCAAAGATGAAATCCTGAGGTTTGTGAAGTTTGATTCACTAACAACCATCAGAAAAGATGCAGAAATTTGGGCAGAGATGTATACATYTAGTGGGTGGATGTAAACATAGAACAGTTACATTGTCATTACTTTTTGGGTTTGACAGAAAGTTTTTAAAAAGGAAAAATCTCTAGTCTGATCTGGCAAACCTGTCTCAAAGCTGCTTTGGCCTCCAGTGCTTCAGCAGACTCTGCAGCCATGGAAACAAGTGCAGTCGGTGTCCCTGCGGTGGGAGTGGCTGCAGGTGAACGTCTGGGAGTAGATGTCAGGGAGAACTCATCAGGTGGTGTTCCTTAATGTGAAGAGACCAGAAATTCAGATAAAAATCTAAATCAAAAAGAAACATTTGGTGAAAACTTTTCAGAGCTAGTTTAAATTAATGTGTCTTGCAAATGATCACAATTCAAATCAGGATTAAAGAAAAAAGAATGTTCATTCAAGCATGGTTGTAGAGACACAAATATGCATGAACTGAACCATTCCTGCTGCCGGTCACAGAGTTTCACTTGTTTCTGTGTCACCTTGTTGAGGGAAGGTGACTCCTGTGGCCTGAGCCAACAGCACGCGGTACATGTCCCTCTGCTTCACAATAGAATCMGTCATCTTTAGCAGCTGGTTGCGTTGCTCCTTCAGAGACTCCAACTCCGCCTGAACATTCCCCCACCTCTGCTCCTGCTCCACACGCCTGAGACAGTACACTGAGATTAGCCCAACTGACAGAATTACAAGTGTGAAATTTACAATAAAACAAGAGTTTTGTATTTTATTCCTGTAGTTGTGATTTTTTTTTTGTGGAGATGGTAATCAAGACAGAAATAAAAAATATATACAGCTTGAACAAACCAGTTGTCAGTGGTCTCAAACTCCTCTTTCTCTTGGGCGTCACWGAGCTCCCTGAAAGCCACCAGAAGACGCTGGTTCTGCGTCTGAAGCTCTTCCACGCTRCGGAAGGTTACCAAGTTTTGGCTGATCACCTCTGAAGTACTGCTGACATCAGCGGAGCTCATCTCTTCCTCATGAAGCACGTGGTTTCCACGAGCCTCTTCCAGCTCGATAAGCAGTACTCGAACCTGGTGGAAACAAAGGGCAAGAGCRGAGTCTGTTAATGTTCAAGTTTCTTACAGGGTTCATGCAGGTTTCAGTAAGTTAAATTTAAGACCTTKTTAGACCATTAGGAATGATTTTTAAGWCCAAAACGACGCATTAACAAAAACATTCAAATGATCCCAAAATTTTTAACATAAAATCCTTTTATTGCCATCAACTTAGGTATGAGAGAATATTTATTTTTAATACAAGAACACTAAATTATTTAAATGAAACGGTCATATCAATCAGACCTTCATATCGGCTGCTGTACGCTTCCAACAAAGTGCAAATTTCACTGATATCAAGCCAAGTCTCATTGAAAACACACTTTCCCATGTTAAAACAACAAGCAGTGGACATGACTGAACTTCTTTGTTTTTTGGACAGGTGAACAAGCCGCCGTATGCTGGAGGTTGTAGCAGCAAAGAGGTCGAAAACATTGAAGTAAACTGTGTCATATTTGCCTGCAGATATCATGGGACTTGTAGTTTAATGCGTAAAAAAGACTGGTAGCAAACTTAGCACTTCATGAAGACAGATTGCATCAACCTTTGATTACAGCACCTTACTTTTGATCATTTATGCAGCCAACGCTTCTCTGGAAYGATCGAAAGTAAAAAAAATTAAGACTTGACTAAATTAAATTTAAGRCCTTGGATGAAAATCTGCGTTTTTAAAGACTTTTTTATTGTTATTTTTTTATTGCGTGGTTTTTTTAGGCCTAAAATTAAGATTTTCAAATTTTAGACTTTTTTTTAGACTTTTTAAGACCCTGCATGAACACTGTTCTTATGAATTTTTTCCAAGTATGCAACAGATCATAAAATAAACCCACCTGTTGAGCCAAATCAGACACCTGGAATTCAAACCTCTGGTTTTCCCTTTCCAGGACAGAAGCATGCTTTTTGGCACCATCAGCCTCATTCTGTAGACGGTGCACATCCTGCAATAAACACATTCAAATTTAAATAATTAACTTAGACAGCCTCATACGTTCTGCTAACAGCATTCACCAAGTGCAAATCAATTTTCCACTCCATCAAAAATGCACCAAACACAAATCACATAAAAAAATCAAGCCTTAAATATATTAAATAAATTTTATTGAATAATAATGAATTAATAAGTGTTCTATTACATGTCGTCACTACACACCTTCATAGCTTGCTCCAATCTGGCAGACAGACTGGCCACAGACTTCTGCATGCGTTCATGTTCATCCCTTTGTCGTTTGAGGAGCGGGGCTTTAGATTCTACTTCCTGCACGATGTCGTCTAAATACTTGTTGACTCGTTTATTCTCCAGTCGCTCCAGCTGCAGCTGCTCCTGGCTCTCCAGATACGCTGTGTACAACTGAAAACATGCTTCGTAAGAGGAACGGCAAGTGGCTGCATCTCAGTGCCCGATTTATKGAGATCAGCACAATTTACTTCGTTCCCAGGCTTACTTTATTCATTTAATTGCTAAAAAGGTAAATGATTTCAAGATTTCACAACTTGTTAAAACAGGGTTGGGTATTTGATTAAGGTTTACATACCTCAGTTAGCTTCATGCCAGGTTTTATTTTGGACACAGCTGCTGCTGTTGGAGACATTGTTGTCATTTGATCCTCAGTCAGCACAGACGCACCAACAGAGCCTTGTCATAAAAATCAAAGGGGACAATCATAAAGCATTCACACATACTAGAAATGTTCGATGCAAGCTTTTGCGCCAAAAAAAAGGTTGGTAATAAGAAGAGGAAAATAACAAGAACTAACCAAAAGAGTATAATCAAAACAACTGACCTCTACGCTTAGAACTTGAGAGCAGTTCATTGGCGTTGTCCAGCTCTTTCTCAAGACTCTGAATCCTGTTTTTTAATTCACTAACAGCTTTATCTGATGCAGCATTCATTTCCTGTAGCTTGTCTTCCAGAGCCTTGTTAGCTAAAAGGATGAAAATTATAGTAAGTAAACTTTATCTCTATAGCACTTTCACAAACAAAGACATCACAAAGTGCTTCACAGAGATCAAAATAATTTCAAACAAAAACCACACAAATATAACAATAATAATAAACAGATTGCAATATTTTAAAATGGTAACTCAAGCTCTTAAATGCTATTTTGCGTGGGGTGTTACTGTACCATGTCCAGCTTCTTTCAGCAACTTCTGTAGTTCATCCACTGCCCCACTCAGCTCCTTACTCTTAGCCTCAGAATCTGCTGCTTCTTCCTGCAAATAAAAGCATGAAACTTTTTTATATATATAAAAAACTATAGAAAAAAGTGTCCTAATAGCTGAAAAAAAAAAACCTTGATGTAAAAGAGTTAATGTAGTGGTGAAACAAAACAATGCTTCAAATAGTTTTACCCAACATGTATCCACACCTTGTATAAATTGGAAAGCTTGATGTTGGCATTTAGCTCTTTCCTAAACTTTTCCTCCATGATGGCATGTTGCTCCTTTGCCTGGKAAAAAAATAAAAATGAAACATTAACACGCAATCCTTCACATTAATCAAACAAATTGTTGTGAGTGCTATATTACATACGAAACTGAAGATTTTATTGGATAATATTAAAACAAAAAACAATATCTAGAATGGCATAAAGCTTCAAAACCGTCCATACATACGTCTCTTAGTTTGTTGATCATGTCCTCATTTTGTTTTTGATGGTGTTCATTTGAAGTCTTCAAACTCGCCACTTGATCTTGAAGTTTTTTTAACTGAATAAAAAAGAAAAAACAGCATTGGAATTAAATCTAAAACGAGATATCTTTAAAAACATAATATAAAACAAATAACATAACCAAATTGAGCAAACAAGAGAGAAGAAAAGTAAAAAAGGTCTTGTAGTTTTTTTAAGTGGGCCACTGTAAAATGCTTTTATATTCAAAATAAAAAAAAAATAAAAACTTGCCTCGTCTTCTTTATTCTCCAGGGTGCATTTTAGCTCCAGGATTTCATTACCCTTCTCTCGGGACAAAGACAGCAGCTCTTCTGTTTTGGCCTTCAACTCGTCTTGTAACCAAGACATTTGGTCATGTAGCAGCTTCTTTTCTTGATCCATTCGCTTCTCTTTATACTGGAGATACAAATAATCTCCAATCACTAATTTGCTTATGAGATCAAATGCAAAACAGGGGGGCAGACATAATCAACAAATAAAAACAGGTACATAACTCACTTTTATGTTTAGTTCTGCAGCTTCAAGCTCATCCAGCTTCATCTGCAGAGTCATCTTAGAGGTGCTGACTTCCACTAATTTATCATTAAGCTGCCTCAAGTCATCTGGAAAAGAAATCACAGCAATATTAATGATAAATGCAATCAATCAATCAATCTTTATTCCAGACACAAAAAGGTCCATAGTAAAAAAAGAAAGGTAAAAACAAAATAAGAGAAAAATAAAAATGACATATTCACTGAGTCACAAATAAATGACACCAATGTTTCCACAATATTGAGAGAAATCTCACTGTACTAAAAACAGGATTTACTAAAATTGCAATTACATTATTGCATGACACAGATAACCTACACGTGCATTTATACATGAGATTCCTGAGCACAGATGCACATGTGGGAACAGCATTATGTACAAACATTTGACTAGCACTGCTCCATCTAGGCACTCTGAGTAGTAGCCTCATGCCATCATTGTATGCCACATAAAGTTTCTGCAGGCTATATAATGCAGGCTATAATGCTAAATGCATTAAGTAAAAATAAAGTGTAAATTAATCTATATGTACCGTTTAAATGCTCTATTTCCAGGGATCTTCTATCCAATGTTCGAACAAGTTCTCGCTTTTCTGCCTCCAGTTCTCCTTTGGCCCTTGAGAGCAAAGTCTAAACAAATTAACATAACATTAGTTGTTAAACCGGTTTAGAGGTCAAGAACAATTTATGAATTTTACCTAAACATTAAAGAAAAAAAGGAGCATAATTATTAGTATAATTTAACAACACATGACAAATTTTTTGATTTTAAGACCACTGAGGAATTAAGAAGAAACGTTGAGCCAAAGATTAAGTGAGTGGAAGTTTTATGTGCATTACTTGTCTAAATAAAATAAAGCACTTTTTAAGTGGCCTTGAATGTTATCATTTGTGTCGACTTGCCTGCTCCGAAGACAGCTTCTCACGCGCCCTTTCGCTCTCTTCATTCTTCTCACGGACACTTTGAAGCTCCTCACCTGAATTAAATATTGATTAAAACTCAGTGAGCCGAAGCCGAGGGTAAATATATAAATAAAACAGTAAAAATCATGCTGACGCTTACTGAGTCTGTTGTACTCCTCTCTGAGTTTATGATGTTCTTGGGTCAAAAGCTCCGTCCGAGCAAGCTGGCCATCTTTTTCAAAAAACTGTTGTTCTGTGTGATAAACGTAAACAATACCACAAGTACGAACAATTTAAACCGTTGCTGATGCTCACAAAAGTTGAAAACAACGAGTTAGCTCGTGGGGTTAGCGTGCGTTAGCTCCAGTAGCACCACACAAAACAGCCGACTTACCGATGTCAACCAGATACTGTTGATGCTGCGCTTTTAACGAATCGATTTCAGAATGAAGAACAGACAGAATTCTTTCTAGTCTGTTTTTAATCGCTTCAGGTATCRAAGAAAGCTCGGAAGCCTCGAACTCCTGCAACARGAGTGCCGCCATTTTCACGACATCCACAGGAGCACGCGCAGTTTGTTTCCTTCTTCTTCTTTTGATGTTTATGAAAACGTGTGTTTACTGCCACCCACTGGAACCACCGTGTAATGAACTTGAGTTTCATTTCTCTTCCACTTGAAGTAGAAATTAGTTTAAAATATTACGTCTGCAAACATTTAACAACTGAATATATTACTTAAATCCAATAACACCAGTGAGCCACTTTGTTTTGTTGTGAGCCAAAACATAATTGTGCTTAATATATTTATCGTTTTTACAGAGTTGTAAAGTAACTAAGTCCAAATACAGTACTTTGTTACTTTAAAAAAGAGAAAAAAATGTATAGGTCTTCTGGACTGGTTCTTCTCTAATGAAACGTTTCGTCTCTCCTCCAAGAGTCTTCTTCAGTCTGAGAGTTTCAGGCAAACAGGGGGTGGAGTGATACTGGCAATAAGATAAGATAAGATAAG